CCCCCCCCCCCCCCCCCCCAATCTCTGTCATCTCCGGAGCAGGTGAATTTGAATGGTTGGCCAGGCTTCTAGAAACCACAGGCTGGTCTATCCCAGCATGGTTGAGGAGTCACTGGACACCAGTTGTTTTGTTTCTGTGGATTTGTCGTCACTGGACAGTCCAATTTATCACAGCCTCAGCCAGTGCTTTAACCTGCCCCTCCCCAGCCGTGTCACAGCCAGACCACCTCTCCCCACCACTTCCCATTTTTAAGATAGCTTTCTGTTTAGTTGTTACGATTCCTTGGTTTGGAAACAGTTTAAATGAAATAGGCAGGGTGAGGTTTTGGGACAGTCCTTTTGCAGGGAGATGGGCAGGAAAAGGAATCAAGTAAGAACTGAGTTGTGTCTCCACTCCCAGCACAATGGGGTCCGTCCCCCTTCTCCATAAGAACAAGGCCCTCCAAGAACTGTCCCCGCCCAGCCCTCACCGCTGGGCCCACTGTGCCACTCTGGCCTTCCTCTGGATCTGGAACACACCCAGCTCACCCCGGCTCCTCGGGTGTTTGCAGATGCTGTTCCTTTGCCTGGAGGACTCGTCCCCCATCTTCCTGAGGCTGACTTCTCGTCTCCCTCAGGTGTTGTGCAAATGTCACCTCAGAGAGGCCTTTCCTGCAACCCTCCATGAAGAACCTTGTGCCCCAGGTCACTGTGCGCCTCATGGTCCCTAGTACTGTCTTCACAGTGCTTTCTGGACTCAGAAACAGTCTTGTTTATGTAGTGGCATCCTTGTTTCTTGTTGTTGCCCTAACTGGATTATACTCCATGAGGGGAGGGACCCTGGAAATGCTCAGATGTCCGATGTCCGAGTGACAGTGCAGGCCCGAGCCTGGAATCTGAGCCAGCAGGTCCTTGTGCAGTCATGCCCCGCCCTGTTCTCTGGTTCCCTTCCCTCTTTCTGTCGTCTCAGTCGCCTAGGTTTAACATGGGAGCCCATGCAAGAGGTGTCCCATGTGACCATGTGGGTCTCCTCCAGAGCCGCCACCTGCCCCTTTCCACGCTCGTGGGGCAGCTGCTCTCAGAGGATGCCCATCTGTCCCAGCCGCCCAGCCCTGTCAGCAGCTGTGCCTGTTCCCACTGCTGACACCCCGGCCCCATGGGAAGTCGTGGGAAGGGGGTGATGTGTAAGCAATCCCAGCGTGTCTGCACCCACGCAGAAGACACAACCAGGGTGGACGAAGACCCCAGAGCCCGCAGTCTTTAGGGTGGGACTTGTGAGTTGGGGATATAGGGAAATGTGTGCCACATGTTTGAAGAACTTTTGAAGTCAAATTCTATTGCCGGAGGTGGAACAAGGCTAACTGGGCAGAAGGTCACAGCGGCAGATTCTATCACAGCTGCTACCGCAGAGCCAGGAATGGCACAGCAGGGGCAGGAGTGGGTGTTATACTCAGCGCCCAATAGACACCCTTTAGTGCCCGCTGGGTGCAGCACTTTTAGAGCACATGGACCTTTCACTTGGGGAAGACCAGGAGTGAGACACCACGGGACGGGGGACAGACACATGAAGAGCCCCAAAGAGAAGGGCCTCCCGGGAGAGGGGAGATGGAGGAAGGGCATGCGGGGGAGGTGCCTGAGGGGTGTGAGAGGGGCTGTCAGGTCGGAGGGCACAGCAGGGGCTGGGGTGCACGGAGTTAGGAATGGAGCTGACTAATGGAGGCTCAGAGAGTAGGAGCTGGGGGTGACTCAGGATAATGGGGTACAGGGCAGTAGGATGATGGAATGAAGCCTGTCGGGCGGAGAACACTATTCTGTGGGCTTTGAGGGTTTGAGTCTTTTGGGGGATGTGATGATAGTCGGTGGCATCCGTGCCAGGTGGGCCTGACCTGTGGGCAGGTGAGTCCTTGTTCCTGCTGCCTCCACAGTCCCGGGGCAGACGTCACTGGGGTGCTTCCCCCTCAGGGTGGTGCCTGAGGGTGGGGAGCCTACTCTTCATACCC